GATGATCTGTTTACGGAGATCTCCAGGGGATGCTGGAGTGTTAGTGATGGTGGAAGAGTCATCTGGGCAGGAGAGTGGTAGATGTGGAGGGAGAAGGTTTGTCCAGCCTCCAGAAAGCCTTCAGCAATTTCTGTTTAAGGACCAGTTGCATGAGGGCCCTCAGGAAATAGGCATAGGAAGCCCTGAGTGGACTCTCTAACCTCCAGTGCTGAGCATCCTGTTGTGGCCCCTGGTGGTTTATCATGAACTGATCCAGAGGATGTATACTCGCCTCGAGCCCCTGCTCATGCAGCTGGACTACAGCATGAAGGCAGAAGCTGATGCCTTGCATCACAAACACGACAAGAAGAGTAAGGGGCTCCCATGCCCAGGAGGGGGATGTGGGGGAAGGCATCGGTTTATGGCTCATGAAGTGCCCTGGAACTTAGATACTCTGTAGTCTCTTGACCACGTTTGTCCCCCCACCACCGTCTCTGCTTGGTCACTGCCCTGCTGTTATTTCTCTAGAGCGGCAGGGGAAGAATGCACCCCCTGGAGGTGATGAGCCACTGGCGGAGACAGAGAGTGAAAGCGAAGCAGAACTGGCTGGCTTCTCCCCGGTGGTGAGGTCCAAGGGAGATGGGATGCCAAGTAGAGGCTGGAGGAGAATCTGCTTCAGAGCAGCTACTTCTCAAGAGGGTGGGAGGCAGTGGGCGGGGGTGCTTTTGAAAAATCGGTTCTCTTATTTTCTCATCTGTTCTGTTATCTGGGTTCTCCTGCAGGTGGATGTGAAGAAAACCGCATTGGCCTTGGCCATAACAGACTCAGAGCTGTCAGACGAGGAGGCTTCTATCTTGGAGAGTGGTGGCTTCTCTGTATCCCGGGCCACAACTCCACAGCTAACTGATGTCTCAGAGGGTATGAGAAGCCCTTTGTCCTCCCAGTCTTCCTGTTCCCAGTTGTGGATGCTGGCCATGTTCTCTGACTGTCACCCCCAGAAATGTTTTTTCTGGGAACTGATCCTGTAATTCGACTTCAAGCTCTGAAAGACCTTAACGCCTAAGGCCTGGTCCAGTATTCCATGTCCTGAGTTCTCATCCTTGAATTGACTGCCTGTTTGTGAGAGTTCAGAACAGCAGGCCCATCCACCCATTCCTGACTCTTTGTTTTCTGCATAGATTTGGACCAGCAGAGCCTGCCAAGTGAGCCAGAGGAAGCCCTGAGCCGGGAGCTGGGGGAGGGAGAGGAGACGGAGCCAGTCCCTCCTGAAGACCTGCTGGGCCCTCCTCAGGCCCTCTCAAGGCAAGACCTGGACTCGGAAGAAGAGGAGGAAGATGTGGTAGCCAAGGAAACCTTGCTTCGGCTCTCGTCCCCTCTTCACTTTGTGAACACGCACTTCAACGGGGCAGGCTCTCCCACACATGGAGGGAAGCTCTCCCCTGGAGGACCAGCGGAGACACTGAGCCCGGAGGCAGTGAGTGGTGACCTCCCCACTCCACCGAACACCCTGTCACCCCTACTTTGCCTGGCCGAAAGTGACCCGGTCCCCTCCCCCTCAGTGCTCCCACCTCCTCCCCAGGACTTGCCCCAGCCCCTGTCTGTCCCTGAGGAAGAAGAGGCACTCACCACTGAGGACTTCGAATTGCTGGATCAGGGGGAGCTGGAACAGCTGAATGCTGAGCTGGGATTGGGGCCAGAGACACCCTCAGAGCTCCCTGATGCTCCACCCCCTCCATCCCTAGGGCCCGACACCCTCTCTCTGGTACAGTCAGACCAAGAGGCTCAGGCCGTGGCAGAGCCATGAGCCACGGGGGAAGGAGTTGCAGGCACAGTAGGGTTTCCTGGCCAGGGACGTCACCGTTTCCTCTTTTCCCTACTCTAGGGAGGGGTCGTACATGGGGAAGCTGGCTGTCAGATGGTAGCCAGTCCACCCTCTGCCTGCCTGCCTGCCTGCCTGCCTGCTGTCCCAGGCCTGGAACAGTGCCCGTGCCTGGGATTGGTTTTAAGTTTGTAAATAATTTTACACTTGGGTTAGTGGATGTGAACAGGGCTAGGGAAGTCCTTCCCACAGCCTGCACTTGCCTCCCTGCCTCATCTCTACTCTCATTCCACTATGCCTCCAGCCCTGGTGGTCGTTCCCTTTCTTTTTCCTCCTATCCTCAGGGACCTGTGCTGCTCTGTCCTCGTGTCCCACTGGTTGTTTAGTTTGGGCACTTGACCATTTGTCTTTCCTGTCCCGTGTTCCTCTCTGCTTTATATCCTGCCTGTGTCCTGTCCTTAGCAGCTCCATCCCCGCTCTTTGCCGGCTCCTTCCCAGCAGGTGGTGGCTAAGCTTTAGGGAGGCTCCTGTCTGGGTGGTACAGACTAAACCTGGGGTGGTGGGTCAGGCCGGTGGTTATGCACTTAACGTCACTATAGCCCACATAACCTGCACCGCGCCCTTGCCCTAGATCATCCCAGCCTTTCGTGATGAGGGAGAGCGGGAATCCCACAGCATGTGCACCAGCACTGCATTAGTGAGCAGGAGCTCCGTCTTGTTGGGATGAAGGGTCCTCTTACTCTAGGAAGGAATAAGGCGACCGCTCTCTGGGCCGTGAATGGTCCCGGTGTGGTGGGACCCCCTACTAGGGTCAGGAAGTGGACAGTAACATCTGTGCAGGTGTTGAGTGGAAAAATAAAGTGTTGATTGGCTAGAACTGCTGCTGCCTGCCTGCCTCGCTGTGAGCTGCCTCCCACACTGCTCTGTTCCTTCCTCACCCCTCACCCCTCACCCTTGTGCCCTCAGACTTGTTCCTGGCTATTTATTTACCTTGGTGCAAAACAAGGCCAGAAGCAAGGATTACCCCAACAGCCCTAACTTGCCCTTAGTCATCTTCCCTGACAGAGTGATCTGTACAGTGAGATTTAGCATGTGTGAATAAAGTGTTCGCAGGAGGAAACTGCCTCGTCTTCCTAGTCAGTACAAATCGAGGACCAGAACGATCGTTTTCTGCCATGTTGCCTACAACCTCAGTGTCCCCGCAAGTCCTGTCCCGTCCGCATATTCACAACTAGCTCACTCAACCGTGACTTGTTTATACTGGGGACCCAAACAAGACCTATACCCGTATCAAAACTGCTTTGAGTCCAAGGAACACTGAAGAAATAGCACGAATCAAAAGCAGAATATGTGCTTGGCACTCTTCCAAGCGGTTTATTATATTTATTAACTCGTTTCCCCTCCTAATCCTGAGACACATAGCAACTCCATTTTACAGGTGGGCTAACTTTCCTGAAGACCACAGTCCTAGTAAATGATGGAGTCTGGATCCAAACTTAAGCAGTTTGGCTCCAGCGAACGCCCTGGAATAGGAAGCCCCTGTTCATTAAAAGGGCACAAATGGGGAGGTGTTGGAGGATGTAGGAACTATAGAGAACCAATCTAATAGCTTCGTAGAGTGGACTCCAGAATCCTTGCTCTTTAGGGGGAAGAACAACATTAGAGAAAGCCCTGAATTGAGCAGATGGCCTCTTTGAGGAGTTCACGTTCTCTGCCTTCAGCTGGAAGCATACTGTACTGTAAGGCTGCCTGATTTTGGGGGGTTGACTCACATGCCATGTCTCTCCTAAGCACGTGAGAATATTTTCCTCCACTTATTTCATCTTTTCCTGAGAGACCATCCTTTAGGGTTGATTGAGGCCCTGTCCTCTCCCTCCAAAGGACCATGCACTTCTAATCATCTGGCGGTCTCAGAAGGGAAAAAATAGAGTTCTAATCAACAAACGGGAGATTCAAGAAAAATAGAATTAACCGATCAGAAAGACAATAGCTGCTATATGCGTCACCTTGAATCCATTTTTTTTTTTTAACTGAATTTTATGTTTACTTATTTTGAGAGGAGGGAGGGGCAGAGAAAGGGAGAGAGAATCTCAAGTAGGCACTGTGTCCAGTGCTGAGCCGGATGCAGGGCTTGGTCCCATGACCCCGGGATCATGATCTGAGCTGAAATTAAGAGTCAGATGCTTAACTGACTGAGCCACCCAGACACCCCCATTTCCTTCTTACACTTACAGTCTGAAGATAGAGCCAAAAGCCTTGTATCAAAACATTCGCCATAGATTTGAAGTTCATGAGGGTCAATTCTTGACATTCACCTTGGTCTGATGGTTGCTACATGTCTGTCTACAATTTTTTTCATTATCAGGTGTCCTGGCTATTTCCTGCCCATGATGAAAGGGACAAGAAGAAAGCTTTTCCTATGAGTGAAAGAAAAACGGGCAGAGATGTGAAACCTACAATTTAGGCTAAACAAAAGTCACCAGTAGTAGTACAGGCTGGGGCAACAAGAGTCAATTACATTTATGTTGGAGGAAGGGCAGTGCTGTTTAGTCAACTATACATTCAAACAGCTGACAGTGTAAGGTGTCTGGTCATAAACTTAATTTTAGGCTGCATTGCTAGAAATAGAGTTTCCCAAGGAAGGAAGATAATACCTGTAGTGTGCTGTGCACAAGTTAGAATACTGACAGGGGATGGCTTCCTACGCTCATAGACAAGCTGACACAGTGCAGTGTGCCCAGTAGAGGATCACCAGAGATGAAGGCTGAAAATCGTCATCTGGGGAACCGGTGAGGGAACAGAGAATGTTGTCCCAAGAAAAGAGAGAGCTGAGCTGAGTCACATTAGCTGCCTTCAAACTTTGAAGGGTTATCTGTAGGACTTCAGAGGGCAGAAATTAAATCTTTGACAAGAATTTGATCAATAATAGGGCTTGGCAGAATTTGTTTTTCTGGTCAAAGGATATTGCAAAATGGAGTAGATTTAAATGATCTTTAAAAGTACAGAGATCAAGGATTAACAGATCAAGAACTGTCCATTCCATCGTGGAAGGACAATAATATACCACCATGTTGCTTTTCTTTTAACGTCTGACTGAAGTTTCCTTGGGACTCCTTCCTGCTCCCTTAAATGTTGGTGATCGTCAAGTCTGTCACTGGTTCATCTTTCTTCCCACTGCCAGCGCAATTTCACATGTTTACCCATTTAGTTTCTACTCACGTGCTGATGACTTCTTCATCTTAACGCGACTCCTTGCCCAGAACTTCCAACGAGGCATCTCCACCTGAACCTCTCTTAGGTACTTACTGCTCAGCATACTGACAACTCAACACACCCTCTTTCCGCTCTGCCCTCCACCCCCACCTCCCCTAAATAGATGGGCTTTTTCTATATTTTCCATCCTGCTTGCTGCCATCACCAACCATGAAGCCCTACTATCCGCCTCATCCCACACCCAGTCACCAGTTGCTATTTTGATGGCCTAATTACTTCTTGATTCTGTCACTTATATCACCGCCCTGATCCACATCTCTCTCATCACTCATCTGGCACACTGTGACAGTTTCCCTGCCCACACTCCTGTCCCCCACTGAAATTTGTGCCCCGAAATATGGCTAGATTATTTTAAAATGCAAGTTTGGTAAGCCTTTCTGCCATTTAATATTGATCAAAGGCTCTCCTACAAACTTTCATTCAAGCTCCCTGATATGGCTTAAAAGCCTCTGAGATCTGTCCCTGCCCTGTCTTGCCTTTTTTTTTTTTTTTGGTGGTGAAACTAGAAGGGAATTTATTTCAGTGAGCCAACACTGGGAGTGCCCTGTCTTACTTTTTACACTACAGCACCAAACCCCACACAGCTTGTCCTCCCCCACCCTTGCTTTGCACACACACCCCATCCTTCTGTTTGGCAAACACTTCACTTGTCTTTGAACATGTACTTTAGGGCACTCTCCATCTACAAAGACTCCCTTGATGTCTCACATCACTTGCCCCCCACGTCAGACCTGCTCTCCTGGTGTTCCCTCAGTGTCCTTCTGTTTTTCCATGTATCACGTGGAATCTTCATTCTCTCTATACAAGTGATGGGGAGATACAGGTATATGTGTGTATGTATAACCTCCACTATACTGCTTATTCTGGAAGGCAGGGACTATGTGTTAATCATCTGAATATTCCCAGAGCCTAACACAGTGCCTGGCACATAGTAGATGTTCAGTAAACATATGTCAAACTATACTAAACCAGTGTTTGAACTTTTGAAGCAGCCAATGTAAATAGATTTTTGTGTGGTACATACCTATTGACAGTAAATATCTTGCCTTTGTTTGTTATTGTTTTAGAGTGGATGGTAGCTAAGCTAACATAACCCGCACATAGACTTGTGAGCTCTTTGTTCCTCTACTAGGCTAAAGGCAGTGAAAATGATCTAGATTTGGAGTTTCGTATTTGTTGGTTTTGGAGCTAAAAGCTTTTCTGAGTTTAAAGTAAGAGTGCCCAACCAGCTTGATCTTCGTGATTGTATCAAAGTATCATGTTTCCAAAACAGTTTTGACCAAACTATTTAGACTCAGCTAAATATTTTCCTTTTAAAATCTTTAAAAAATTTTTTTTAATGTTTATTTATATTTGAGGGAGAGAGACACAGGGCAGGGTAGGGGCAGAGAGAGAGGGAGACACAGAATCTGAAGCAGACTCCAGGCGCTGAGCTGTCAGCCCAGAGCCCAATGTGGGGCTTGAACCCACGAGCCATGAGATAATGACCTGAGCTGAAGTCAGACGCTCAACTGACTGAGCCACCCAGGCGCCCCTCAGCTAAATATTTTCATCAAAAATCCAGTTATATGTATTAGTGCATGCTTGAAAAAAAATGTGACTCTGCAGAAATGGAATAAGGTTAAAAGAAATCTCATTTTCTTTTTAAGTATGAAAAGTGAGTGGACTCCCCTTCAAAATGTCTATTTCATAAAAGATAATGAAAATCTGAGGAACTATTCAAGATTGAAAAGGAGACGAAAGTGGGGTGCCTGGGTGGCTCAGTCGTTTAAGTGTCTGACTCTTGGTTTCAGCTCAGGCCATAATCTCAGAGTTTCGTGAGTTCAAGCCCTGCATCGGGCTCCGTGCTGGCTAGTACGGAACCTACTTAGAATTCTCTCTCCCTCTCTCTCTACTCCTCCACTGCTCATGCTGTCTCTGTCTCTCTCAAACATAAATAAATAAACTTAAGAAAAAAAATATTAAAAAAGAAAAGGAGACCAAAGAGAAATGACAGTAAATGCAAGGGATGATCTTGGATCTGGGTGGGAGAAAAAAAGTTCCTATAAAGGTCATTATTGGGACAACCGGTAAAATTTTAATATGGATTGTATATTACATAAAAGATTGTATCAAGATCAAACTTCCTGAATTTCACTTTGTTTCTATAAGAGGATATCCTTATTTTAGGATATACATCCTGAAGATTTCAGAGATGAAGGGTCATGTTCTCTGCAAAGTATATCAAATGATTTGGAAAAGTAAATAAATAAATGAGTATGTGAATGTATGGTGTGTGTGTGTGTGTAGAGAGAGGGAGGAAGGGAGAGAGAGGGACAGATGGACATAATGATAAAGCAAACGTGGCACAATGTTGGGAAGAAATACGTATGATAAATACAACATATGGAAGTTTGTTATTCAGTGGATAAATGTATATTTAGACAACTAAATAGAATGAACAAAGTGTAAGAACAAAAATATGCATGAATCTCAAACAAAATATTGAATAAAAGAAACTAGACACAAAAAATACATATGATTCCATTTATATAAAGTACATTTATATTGTTAGAAGTCAAGATAGTGGCTACCCTTGGGGTGGGGGAGCAGCATTTGGAGGAATCTTCTTAAGGGTGGTGATATCTCATTTCTTGATCTGGGTGCTGGTTACACGGAAGTGTTGAACTTGTGAAAATCCAATCACCTATATACATTTCTGTATGTATTAGTTATACATCAACAAGAAGTGTCAATACCAAGTGTATTGATTATCTATTTCTGCATAACAAGTTACTCCAAAACTTAGCAACCTAAAACAACATTATCTCCC